TCCAAACCAAATTCTTTTGTGTTCTGGTCTTCTCAGTGGCCCTGTAGAGATAAAACCTTTGTTCTGTATGCTCTCTAAGTGAATGAAGAGCGGGGAATGGGGTAGATTTCAGACAAAATGGGGAACAAGCCACGTGCCGGGAGGCCCAAGACAAAGCTGCTACGGGAAGCAGCAAGACAGGGGACCTCGGCGCGCTCCTCACCTCATTCCACAGAGGCAGCCACCTGCTTTGCCTAGGCACCGAGCCAGCTCTGACGGGAGATGTGATCGAGGCTATTTGCATTCCTGTTTTCAGGACAGTAAATTTTATCTAGCCATACAAAATGAGGAAGAAGTTGACCCAATCATGCAGAGAAGCTAATTTGGGAGGAGGAGGTGAAAGAAATGGAGACAAATTGTTTGCTTTTAATGAAGTGCAAATTTTATTTTCTGTGAAGTGTAAAGTGTGACAAAGATATCTTTAGAGAAGATAATTTGGTGTTTTGGTGGAGGGCTGATATTTCCCTGATGTGTTTCAAGAAATAATGACAAAAACAGAAACACATCTACTACACTGGGTCACAGCACTGGGTACTGTCATTTGTGCATTATGTCATTTAATCCACACCAGTTCTATGAGATGGGATCTAGGGCCTGGAGATGTCTGGCCCAGTTTCTCAGGGCCAATGACTGAAAGCCCAGCCCTAGAATCTTAGGCCATGGTTCAAAGTATGGGAAAAGACCAAGAAATTTTCAACAGTGCTGGCAACTCTGTGTTGAAACTCTTCGGTAAATAGTTCCCTGGTTATTTCTAATTCCCATTGACTTGATACAGTGCAAACTATTCAGGAATGTGATACAGATAGATATTTCCTTTTAAAAATATTGCACAAATACATGATTTCCTCCCTCTTTCCACCCTATAGGAGAAGTAGGAAAAGAGTATGAGTAGGAATTTATCTCCAAGCTATAAAACCTTCCTATCCTTTTAGTAATCACCGAGGGGAACTCCTAGTTACTAAGGAGAACATAACAGGCTCCATTAGATTCAAGTACAACACTTGGGTTGCCTGGCAAGAGAGTGCCAAAAAAGCAAAGGAAAATATTATCATTGCTGAAATCATTTGATGTCTATGACTAATAGAAAACATGTTGGCAAATTGAATTTGTAGAAGTGCCCAAAGGACTTTAGAGCTGTGAATTAATAGCATACAGTAGTTCTGTCCAGAGAAAAGAAACAACAACAAAAAAAAACCAACAAAAAAAACACAAAGGCCAAGATGTTGAACTATTTTAAAATGTATCTGAATCACCACGAGTGTGCAATGGAAACCTTAAGTAACCAATATAGGTGCTTTTTCAATTTTTTAAAATTTCCTTTTCCCATCTCCTTTTCCTTATAGCCAAATAATACAGTTCGTACATTTCAAGGCACAGTATCCTTGAATTGCAAGGCACAGGTCTTCTCAGGCTTCTTACCTAACATCTCACAGATACCAGAATTATCCTTAAACCCTGACAACTGTACCCACCTTAGAGACTAGGAGGGCTAGAATGTCACTTCATGCATGTGCTATGTCCCTTGGGAGCTGAAGGAAGCCAGAGGCAGAAAGAGTGGGGATAAGCCTGACCTCTAATTACCTCTTAACCTGGGCTACAGAGGTTACAATGGGCCTGCCTGCCTACGTTCATCCAGTCTCTGTCTCTGCTTGATCATTCCCAGCGCAGGAGGCCTTTGCCGGGACACATCCTATCTCCTTCTGTATGGATGCAGCCCTAGTGGTTGAAGGGTGCTTTCTGGTTGTGTGCCAAAATCTGTTTCCTTGTATTTTCTACCCATTGTTCCTCACGGTATCTCTAGAACAATGCTGTTTGACTCAACTTCCTCTCCTCTGGAATAGTCCCTTAGATAACTGAAGTCAGCTGTCAGGACTCCCGTGTACACTGTCTTCTCCAAACTAAATATCCTCAGTTTCTTTGTCAGATCATAAGTTAAATATACGACTGTTAGTGCAATATTAAGAGGAAGATCATAAAATCACCGTAAGAGAAAGACAAAAAGGAGGCTTGAAATTAGATTTTTTTTTTTCAAAACAGAGTTAAGTTATTGAACTGGAAAGCTAGATTTTTTAACTGATAAAGAGAAGTGCTTGTCTTTCCACAGAATTCCTCCATGAGGTCAATCAACTTTTCTGTCAAAGTGGAAATGTGCCTTGATAAGACTTCTTTTAGTGATATCACACCAGCAACTAATGATCACTCATCAATTCTCACCAAGTTGCTTTTTTTTTTTTGCCTTTGTTTACTATGAATGCCTACCTTGAGAAAAGGTTCTAGAAAAATACTTATCTTCACATGAATAGTTGTGGCATGATTTCAAAATTTGAACATTATCTGTAAAGAATTAAGGGAGGGGCAATGTAAGAAAACTAAATTTTTAGTTCTTTTTCTTCCCCGTATTATATTTTTAAAAATTGTAAATATACAGAAAAGTTGAAATAATTTTTTAGTGAACATCCCTATACTTAATAATTGGATAGTATAATTAACATTTTGCTGTCTTTGATTTATCACATATCTATCAGTTTCTCTATCCATCCATCAACCTTTTTTTCACAAATCAGCATAAGTTACATTCATCAGTACACCTAATCCCTAATACTTCTGCATGAATATTATCATCAGTCCTTTTTTAATACTTTCAATGACCATTCTCTTCCTAATCCCTCTTGGTATTCTTTTCCTCTTTCCCTCCACTTTCTCAATTCTTATTTTTTCACCCTTTTTACTACTTTCTATCCTCAAATTCTAAGTTGTAAAAGGAAAGTGTGAAAAATCTGAGTGTGGTACAGTCTTGAAGTAGCACCAGGCAAGGAAGTTCACTGACAACCACACAGGGCCTCACAGCTGGTTTCTCCGCAGGCCTGGGATGGACGAGGCCCTCATGAACAAGCTGATACCATCCAATTTACAAGAGAGGGAGGTGTAGATTAGCATGCCCACTTAATAATTTACTGTAGGAAACACAGCTGTGAAATACCCAGTCTCCCTCTGAGCTCATCTATGACAGGCCAAATTGTGAAGGGTTTTGATGCTTAGAGACTGAGAGGAAGGGAATTAATTAGGTCCTAGTGGCATAAAGCAGAGAGACCTTTCCAGCACTGGTTTTTCCAAAGCTGGCCTGCACAGCATTTGACACCAAAGCGGTGCTTCAGAAATTAGTACAATGACGACATGAGTACATGAATGCTAACCACCGCAGTAGTAGAAGTGCAATCCAGACCAGGAGCTCATGTTGTGGCTCAGAGCACCTCTCACCTGGACTGCACAGTGAACCCTGCCAAATTATCCCCCTCCAACTCGCTTTAAAGAACTTTCATGATGACCGTTCTCCTTTGAATAACGCATTCTCTTTTTGCCATGTGTATGGCATTAATTAAGCTTTTGTCAAGTCCAAATCTTTCTGCTTTGGTCTGAAAGACAACCTGTCTTTAAAAGGGGAGGTCTGGCCCTGGCTGGTGTGGCTCAGTGGATTCAGCACCAGCCTGAGAAGCAAAGGGCCGCCAGTTCAATTCCCAGTGCAGAGCACATGCTTGGGTTGCAGGCCTGGTCCCTGGTAGGTGGTGCGTGAGATGCAACCGCACATTGATGTTTCTCTCCATTCTCTTTCTCCCTTCCTTCCCCTCTCTAAAAAATAAATAAATAATCTTTTTTTAAAAAAATGGGAAGTCTGCCCTGGCTGGGTGGTTCAGTTGATTGGAGCATCGTCCTGTACACTAAAGAGGGGTGGGTTCAATTCCTGGTCAGGGCACATACCCAGGTAGTGGGTTTAATCCCCGATTCCATTAGGGCACGTACAGGAGACAACCAATCGATGTTTCTCACATGGCTGTTTCTCCACCGCCATCTCTAAAATCAATAAATATATCCTCAGGGGAGGATTAAAAAACTTAAATTGGGAGGTCTTTGTCTTTTTAATGACATCTTTGATAAACTGATTTTACTGGCTTTACTCTCATAAAAAGGGAGTGATCCCCTACTGCCCCCCTGTATTCTTTTCAAAGACCAGGGAACACCATCTTCCCTGATGAGCAAGAACTATTCCCTTCCCTGACTTGAGATTTATGTCTGATAAGAAATGTCAGTGATTTATTTTCTGGGCTTCCTAATTACCAGCCCACAAAGACTTGGCCAAGTGAGTTCTTCAGTGGCAAGGCAGGAACACCAAAGTGCAAATGCAGCACTTCTGACAATAAACAGCTTCTCCATAGTTGCAGATAAATCCAATTTCAACAAATTAATCTCACTTTGAAATCCATAAAAGTATCTTTCTAGCCATAAAGTCTCAAGGTAAGTCCTTTGGTTATATAACTGTTTTCTAATGTAGTTCTTTCAAAGGTTCTGATGTCATACATCATATTATTTTATAGCAAGGAATTCCTATCCTCTATTGCTTGAAAATCATTCCGTCCCCTGGCCACTTCCCCTATACAGATACCATAGTAAATATCTGTCAACATCAGCACTTCATGGTGGCATCACACCCTTTAGAATGTATTTGAATGCAAGCCATTATGGTGTTAAGGTGAAAAAGGACGCACAATCAAGGCTTTGATTATTTCGTGGGAGTTTACTTACACACTGGGAAAAAAATCAGATACTTTTAGCCATTGGCACCTCCGTGGTAAAATGCCAACTGCCAACTAGAGTTCTCTAATTGCCTGTATTATAAGCAATCAAAACACAAGGTTCTGATCCGGATAAAAACCCTTCTAGAAGGTGAAAGATACTATGATGCAGAGAGTAGGCTTGGATTGCTGGGGGTTCAGACACTCTGACAGACAGGCACACATGCGCTTGGTTTCCCAGACCTCAAGCGGGGCTCAGTCTAGGGTAAACAGGGAAGTCAGGCTGCAAAGGCCACGTTTGTTCAGACATCATTAATTCTTTTTATTCCTTTGATGCATCTGTCTCTAGTGACAGAACTCTTTTTTTTCTCTCTCTCTCTTTTTTTTTTTAAGAAACTAAAGCACAAAAGGAAACTGAAAAAGCTACAAACTGATTTGGCAACAGTTAAGCAAGATGCTGCCATCACAATCTTGGAACTCAATGAGAAGATAAAGACTTTGTGTGAAGTAAGGACAGCCCCTAGAGGTCAGTATTACCATGTGACGGTGGCACTGGCCTATGGGCCTGGGTATTGTATATAGTTTTATTGGCAACAAAGCAAAAAGCAAGGCCACAGTGCCAGGCAGCATAGTGGCCTGGCTGCACGCTGACCCGGCTGACCTGCGTTCTGCATGAATGGAGATATCACACGAACTACTAACTCCAGACTGGGTTCACTTTCACCGTAAGAGAGGCAGAGAATAAATGAATAAGCCATTCTTTAAAGGAAAGTCCCTGAAGCTGAAGAGCTGGACTGAAATAGATCTGATAAGTGTCCTTGTACAAGCTGGGTGGCAGTGAGGGGAGGGCAGGGTCTAAGGAGGAAGACCCAAAGCCCCCAGGGATGGGCCTCTGCAATGGGGCAAGGAGAGGAGCTCATATAAAAGTGTAGACAGGTTCGTAGACTCAGACAGGAACAAAGAAGGAAAAAAAATAATGTTCTAACAATAGGTGAATGAGCCAGAAACTAGTAGGGAAGGCTGGCTGGGATTAAAATCTGGGTGGTTCAAAAAAATTATAATAGCCATTTTTGTTTGGATTCTTTTTTTTAAGTATTTTCTTACAGACTATAAACACACATTGCGGGGGGACCCAAATTTCAGACTGTCATTAACAGTAATACAAGTTAACATTTAATACTATGTGCTAGGCATTTTGCTAAGTATTTCGTGTGTATTTCTCAGAAGAGTGTCCATTTATGGATTCTACAAGAATAAGCAGAGGCTTAGAGCTGATTACCTTGCCCCACGTCAGATGTGTCTGAGCAACACCTGCGCAGTCAGCCTGCAGACAGAAATTAACCCCCGCCCAGAAGCCAGGGCAGCTCTGACCCAGCCGGGCTTCTTCGTTCTATGCAGCAGAGATATCAAACTCCCTTCTGCCTGCGGGATCTCTTGCAAAGCTGTGATTCGGGGATAAATGTCTTCCTTTGATGTGTGGCACTCTTGTAGAGCCAGGAGCATGCCATTGTTCTTACTCTGGCTTCCTTTATTACTCATAAGTAATTCTGGAAAAAGAGAAGGACCATGGAAATAAATGGAGGAGGAAAAAGTAGGCGATGTGGTGGCTTCAGAAAGTGAGACACTCCCAGCATCCTGACCGCATGGTAAGCTTTTAGCATGAGTTTGGTTTTAATTTTTAGTTTTGAACAGCACTTTCCCAGGGTTACAATGGCATGTAACAGTCACCTTGAAACATGTGCTGAAGGTCAATTTGTTTGCTCTTTCCACAGAACAAAATATAGTTTATGAGTTTGCTTTTACTACCATGAAACCTAAAAGAATAAATTCTATTAGAGAATGTCATCCATTTAAAGGTCTTTATTCTAAGGCACCATAGCTAGATTTCAACGTGGTTCCATAATAAGCTGATAGTGATTATACAGCCCATTAGAGAAAGTTCTCCAGCTCACTTGAGAGAAGCTTTCAACTTCATTGTATTTTCAATCTAGTGAAAAAATATATTATTGCAAGGTAGCTAATTCCCATTACTCATTTTTGACAAAAATAATATCACTTGCTGTTTAATAATTTTGTCCCTTTGATATTTTGATAGGTCAAATTAAAACACTACTGAGGTACCATGACTCTAATGGTTTGGGAGATAACAGAAAGTATTAAATCCCACCTTTCCTTCTTTGCCCATTTTTTTTTCTATATTTCTATTTAAAAACAAACTTCTATTGCAGGGAGAAAAACCATACTGTATTATGAACAGATAATACATCTCAATAAAGCCAGGTTTTCCAAGATTAATTATGGATGAAGGTAGTGACTTCCTTTTGGTTCTACATGTTGCTTCTCTTAGTGGGTATAGAAAATGAGTCAATGGACTGACATGTAGGACTCAAGTCTTAAATCAAACATTTGCACATTTTTACTCTCCAATGGGTGCCATGCAGCCTCACCCTGAATTTGATAGCCCAGGAGATCATCAAGGCCATTGTGGCCCCAGAGCAACATTAGCTCTTATTCTCAGAGACTTTGGTCACCTTGGCCCCTCCCCACCAATTCTCTTGAAAGTAAAGTCTGGATAGATGCTGATAACTCTAACATACAATGACCCCCATTTAACCACAGAACTGCCTCCCACACACATTCCTCAGCCAGAATAGGTCCCACCCCTAGTTATCTGGTGTCCTTTTATAAAATGTTTGTTTTCAGTTCTCAAACCTTTGTTTGCAAATGACAGATGTCCGGGACTGGAACTCGTGATAGCTTAAAGAGAAAGGGTGATTTATTGGCACAGGTGTAAACAAACTAAGAAAGGGCATGTCATTAGTCCTGCAGTCTGATGGATTCAGGGTCTCAGATAGCACTGTGTCTCTCATCTCTGCTTCTCTCTGCTTTGAGACTTCATTCTCTCAAGCAGGATGTCAGAAGAGACTGGAGACATGGCCAAAAGCAGCTATGGGCTGCCCTCCTTACCTGTCCTCCAGAGAAGAAAGAACTCATTTTTCCAGCAGCTCTAGTTAGAAAAAGTCTAAGAAAAAAACTCTGTCCTGGCATGGGTTGCATACCCATGAGGGTCTATGAATAATCTTTGTGGCCAAGGTAGGGAGCTACGGTTGGACAAGCTTCGGCCCTGCACTTGCCACTGGGCGGTGGTGTAAAGGGAAATAATGGTGGGGCTGACTGATAGTTACCACAGGGCTGGGGTGGGAGAAAAGCATATCCCTAGAGGAAGGGATGGCCCATTACTGAAAAGAAAGAGTGAAAGACAAAACCAACATGTCCAATACACACTCAGTTAGTGGTCAAATTAAAATATAAAGCAATGCTTAATGAGTCACCCATCTATGAGTACTTGTACTTTTTGAGTAGACTCTTTTTGATGAAAAAAAGACATTCATGACCCAAGAAATAAATGTCCAATAGTAGAATTTCAGACCCCATAATGGATAGAGAGTGAACCACTTTGGGAAAGGAGTCCCCTTCCAGCCTCCATCACGTGACATCATAGTCACCTACTCAGAAAACCTGCCTACTGTAACTGTTGAAATTGCAAGAGGGGAAAACGGTGTTGATTCTAAATGATACGTTAACTGGATTAATATAAAAGTACTTCTCTGTTATAGTTACAAACTGATGCTTGCAGTCCTATCAAGCAGATTAGTGAGATGTTTCCAGATAAATTAGAATTTCTTTCTCACCCAAATACTTTTTTTGTTTGTTCGGTTCATTTTCTAAGTAATGCTGTATGTACATATGAGGTTGCCGTTCAACTCCTCTGATCACAAGGATGTTCCAGAATACTAGGGGTACTTTAAAGCATATTCAAAATGATGAAACGTTGACCTACCCAACTTTTTTTTCAATACATAAACACCATAAACTATTTCATTGGCTATGTACTTAAATTACCTCCAAAGAAATAAATGATTTCAGTCAATGGAAAGTTCAACTGAAAAGAAAAAACACCTTTATTATAAAACTGGCACAGCAGGAAACTTACGGACTCAGTGTTGTTTGTTGATTTTCCTTTGTTGGAGTAATCACAGCCCAGGGCAGATTCCTTCCACCATTACCACAGCCTGTGCCTGAGGTGCTTACAGCATTATTTACTAGCAGAATCCAGTGAAATGCCTATTGTACACTTTCAAAGTTTGAGTCCACCTTTTGATAAACCTTAGGATATAGAAACCTAAGATTAAATTTCAAAACAATCTTTCCTTCCTTTGACTTTGCAAATTACTTTGTGAAAGCCCTTATTGACTACTGGTAAGTCCTGTTGTGGGCGCAGGAGCATTAAGCCACTTGCAATGAGGGAAGCTTCTGGGTTTGACCAGAACATCAGGGACCAGGTTTATAGGTTTCCAGTTAGCATATGAAAGGTGATGTACTCTGCTGGATTTCCCTTTTAATTCTTTTCTCTTAATATGCACAGTATGGTATCTAGCCCTGTTTACATGTTCCCAGTGTCCCAGTGAAAGCCATATCAACTTTGAAGTCATCTCTTTGCTTTGACAAGATACTCCCAGGTAGTGCAGGCACATCCTAGGGCAGACTTTCCTGGGACTCAGCATATGAGTAGAGTCAGACACATTTTGAGGAGAGGCTTATATAATATGATTGACATCCATGATCTTTCAGTGACACAAGACTGTTTTTAAACACTATCCTATTAATTTTAAGAACCAAACTATTGCTGTCTTATATTCTTAAGAAAACTAAGAGTGATATCTCTGCCAAAACCCCAGAGCCAGCTTTGAAGAGTATTTTTTATCCTGATGTCTGCTCCCAGACAGTCAGCCCAAACTTTCTATTCCTCTTTTTATCTCTCCTACAAATTTCCTCAAGATTAGAGCTCCCACTGCTTCTAGGTGTTAAGAAAACAGAGATTTGAAGGTGAGGAAAATGTTCTGGAATTAGATAGTGACATTGGTTGCATAAGATTGTTAATACAGGAAAACTACTGAACTGTACACTTTAAAATAAATGGTTAACATCGTGAATTTTATGTTCTGTAAACTTTATCTCAATTAGGAAAAAAAGTTATTAAAACAGTCCTCACTAAAATGTAATGACTAATGTCTTGTCAAGTCTATGTGTATTTTAATAAGAGTGCTTTGGGCCTAAATAAAATCTTGACTTGGTAGAATTCCAAACATTTAGAGAGAGGTCATATTAATATTTATTGGAGTAAGGCCACTCTTGAATAGTTGCCCATTTGTATCTAGGTCCTTTGAACAATGTCATCCTTTCCTCTTCTACCTTCTCTCTGCCCAGCTCTTTGAAAGGCTACTAACCCCGAGACCAGGGACCCATTACTTGACCAATAGCTCTACATGCAACCTTCTATCACCAGGGAACACAAATATTTATTTTACCAGTCTACCTAGAGTTTCCTAAGAAAGTAACAGGGAAGGTCCTGGGAACTCACTGTTTGAACTGCTGGGACTTCGTCAAGAAGCACCACTCACCACCCACGTCATCAGACTGCGTGGGACTCAGTCAAAGCGCAAGAAGCAGCCTGCACTCCCTCCT